GTTCAGTAAACATAATTGTGGTAGCCATCACAGGTTGGGTTACCCAGGAAGTAGAGTCTGAGGGGGAGATTAGCATGCAAGACATGCTCTTATATGGTTTTAGGATCAATCCCTGTGAAAGGGAGGTGAGCAGAGGGAGAAGCTGATCTGTAATGCCATCCCAACAAAGGCTTCAGAGACCACTTGGGTCTGGGATGGCCTTTTAGAGGTGTCTTAAATTGATATGAATGGCTGGGCCTTCAACTGCCAGTGTTGATTAGACATTGGATGCAAACCAATGATTTGGGGCTGTCCATTTCTTTAAATTAGGCTTCTCCAAAGAGTGCTGAGAGCTGAGGGTTTCTGCCAGGACTAGGGAGCAGATGGGGCTAAGTCTTCTATTCCTGAAGGGGGATTGGGCCGAGCTTCACAATCAGTGTCTACCATAGAAGACTAGCCTTTTGAGGCACTGTGCTAGTCACTTGTAGACTGAAGATATTGATTAATTCACTAATATTATTGAGTGCCACTGTGTATGTCCAGCACTGCTGCACAGTGAGATACAGACTTGAGCAAGGCAGATATGGCCCCTGCCCTCATGGAGCTTACACTCTGCTAAGGGATTAAGCAACCATTAATGAGCCCTAGCTGGCTTGGTTCAGTGGATAAAGCGTCGGCCTGCAGACTGAAGGGTCCCAGGTTTGATTCCAGTTAAAGGCACATGCCCAGGTTGCAGACTCCATCCCCAGTAGGGGGCGTGCAGGAGGCAGCCAATCCATGATTTTCTCTCATCATGGATGTTTCTATCTCTCTCTCCCTCTCCCTTCCTCTCTGAAATCAATTTAAAAAAACCAAATTAACGAAAAAAAAACAAGCATTAATCAAGCTATTATACAAATAAGTACTGAAACTGTGGTAATCATTATCAAAGAGAGCAATGGATTTACAGGAGCATAAACAGAGACTTAGCTCAGTCTAAGTTTTAAGAAAATTCTTTCTTAAGGCAGCTACAATTACAAGGTGAAAGATAAGGGAGAACTAGCCTAGATAAAGCCAGGGTTGGGAAGCGGAGTCACAAGCTAGTAAGAGAGGTAGGAGGATGATCAGTAAAACACACTTAAAAATTCAATATATAGATCTTATATGGCCACACAGAAGTAAAATGGGCAGTGCCTTTCCTTGGTAAAAATCCAATGCCTAATGCTTAAGAATATTGAAGTATATGTTAGCCCTACTATATCCTCTGATGAGTTTTTAAAAACCAAGAGAACCAATATGGGGTGAGAGGTGGATGATTCCAGGGCCAAGTGCAAACTGAAGTGCTGCTCAGAAGTTTGAAGTTTACACTAAGCACAGCCTAGAGCAGTGGTTCTCAACATCTGGCCCTCTGAATACAGTTTCTCATGTTGTGACCCAACCATAAAATTATTTTCATTGCTACTTCATAACTGTAATGTTGCTACTGTTATGAATTGTAATGTAAATATCTGATATGCAGGATGGTCTTAGGCGACCCCTGTGAAAGGGTCGTTCGACCGCCAAAGGGGTCGCGACCCACAGATTGAGAACCGCTGGCCTAGAGGAAGTAAGTTTATAGGCCAACTATTTGAAAGAGAATAGAGACTGGGTGTGCAGTGAAAACTGGACACTTTTGTCTCCTGACGCTGAGCAATTCCTTCCCCTCTTCTCTAGAGCAGAAATGTCTGCCAGTTTCCCTTTAAAGCAAGGAAAGTTTGTGGCATTTAGTACTAAATTCTAATGTTCTATAAATTATAGCCAATATTCCCCTGCCCTCTCACTTTATCCATGTCTCCACACTGTCCCTTTCTTAGCTATGTTTTTGCCATAACACTTATCATTCACAAATATATAACTACTAAAATTGTGGTAAGCATTACTAAAGAGAACAACTGCACCTAGACAAGTGCCTATCATTCCATTAATATTGAGTAAATATTCAATATTTTACAAAACGTCTCCTAGTAGATGACTTATCTCTAAGCACTGGCTAAGGTAGATGCCACATGCAAGTTAGTGAAAGTGACATTTTTCATTAGCTGACTGCTAATAACCTTTCTCAATGTCCTTCTGTCTTGCTACCTTCCTACTATAGAGGCTCTAAAAGCTCAATACTCACTTGCCCAATAGTCACAGCAGTTAAGCATAGTCATATGACACAGTTCCGGGCAATGAGACAGAAGTAGGAGTCTTCCTGTGTGTGTGCATACTTGTGCTACAGATGCAACAGGAGAGGGTGCTGGCCTTGACCCTTTTCTAATCTAGCTTCCCTAAATGTAGGCACATGCTGCCTGGATCTGCAGCAGCCATCTTGCAACCACAGGTGTTAATATTAGCATTGAGCAGTTGAACCAAAATCTGCAACCACCCACCTCTAGACTCTTGTTATAGGACAAAAAATAAAGTCCCATTAGCCAAAGCCAGTTGGTTTTCTGTTAAGTGAGCAGAAAGTTTTCTCAATCTGCCTGGCTAGTGTGGCTCACTAGTTGAGCATTGACCTATGAACCACGAGGTCATGGTTCAATTCCTAGTCAGGGCACATTCCCAGGTTGCAGGCTTGAACCCCAGTGGGAGTTGCTGGAGGCAGCTGATAAATGATTCTCTCTCATCATTGATGTTTCTATCTCTCCCTCTCCCTCCTTGAAATCAATAAAAATATATTAAAATTTTTTTTTCTCACTCAATACCAGGACAACCTAAATAAATTGTTTTTCAGAGAGTGACAATAAATCACAATGGACGGGAAGATGGCTGGGGGTAAGGGGAGCAAAAATAAAAAAAGAAGAAATAACCAGCTCAAGGACAGAAAGTAGAATACTGGAATAATAAGCAAAGATCCCTGGTGAGGAGAGAACAAGAGGCCCAGGTCTTGGAGCTGCAGCTGTAGCCAGAAGCTTGGTAGCACTTTGTATACCCATAACAATGTTCCCTCTCTGTGGCCCCTGAGGACCAGCTCACTGGGGACTATTTCCTCCTTGTCTGTCCCACACATCTTCACCAGAATCCCTTGTCACTAAAGGTAATCTGAGTGTCTTTGTCTCTTGCAACTAAAAGAGTACACCTAATAATGTGTGGTCAGTCCCATAAAGGACAGCTACCTTGTTCTTTTAGAAAACACTTCTCAACATCACATAAAACATTGGTCTAGATAAACTTGCTAAAAAAAGAACTAGCAATGTAAAGACGCAGTCAATTTGTCTCCAGTACCTCACACTTCCTCTTTCAGGGCTTCTTCCTCTTTGCCTAAGTGCTTTCCTTCACTGCACCGATGCCCAGTGCCGTCTTGCTGGTTTTTAGATACGGGCAGGGCAGTCCTCCTGCTTTGAGAACCTGGAACTGCTCTGGTTCACAAGGCTTCAGCTTAAGGACTCTTTCCATCTTGATCTTTGGTCAACACTTCAGTACACAGTTCTGTAATCTGCAGGCAGATGCAAAAGGAAAAGGATCCTGGCTTCTTGCCCTTTGGGTTGTAAATAAATTTCTCCACAGGGAAGACAAGACTAGAGTATCCACCTTGACATTCCAGGAAATATCTCCATTGTTCTGGGGTGGGTTGGGGGTGGGGGTCATTGCTCCTTGACATAAAAAAACAACAACAGCACACACAACCTGGCCTGAGTGGTTCAGTGGTTGAGTGTCAACCTAGGAGCCAGGAAGTCACAGTCCAGTTTCTGTTCAGGGCACATGCCCAGGTTTCAGGCTCAATTCCCAGTGTGGGGGGTGCAAAAGGCAGCCGATCAATGATTCGCTCTCATCATTGGTGTTTCTATCTCTCTCTCCCACTCCTTCCCTCTCTGAAATCAATAACAATATATTAAAACAAAATGCACAGCTCTGGGGAGATAAATCTCTCTGGATTATTAGGTAATCACATGTAAATTCACTTCCATGGTTGTTCTTTTTGTTTAAATCCCAAGTGTCAGTAAAATTTTCTCATAAAATTTAACTGTACAGAAATAAAAGTTTTTTCTACAGCCCACAGTTCCCAGGTTGAACCATCCGCCCACTGTCTTGATTGATTCTTGGTCCTGTAGGCATTTGAGTTTGGGACCACTGCCTCATATCGTCCTTTAAGTAAAGTTAACCTTTGAGAACATTTGAGATGTTGCTTCCTGTCACATGTCATAGGTGAGGACATCCCTTCTTGCTCCCCCACACCTGGCATGCCCTTTGCCCCGTGCCAGCTTTAACCTTCTCTGAAGCACTCTAGATGGCATTCTATACATTGTTTAAAGTCTGCCTCTCACATCTGGAACAGATGCTCCATGAGGGAGCAATCTCTCTAATGACCAGCACATAATTGGTGCTTAATAAATATACTGAATGAACAAATAAATGAGTGAGTGTGTGACTGAGAGAATGGCCTAAAAAAAGTTAACCTTTAGTGATAGCTTGGTGGCAAGCTATCATAATCAATACTTTGATCGAAGGATATATATGTGCTACCATCCAGATCTCTAAAAAGAGAGTTGAAATATATTAAGTTTGTGTGAATGAAGAATTTGTAAGATGATTTTTTCAGACTAGAAATCAAACCAAAAATGAAATGATAATTTCTTACTACTTGCTATAGACTGAATGTCTGTGTCTCCCAAAATTCACATGTTAAATCCTAACTCCTATTGTTATGGTATTTGGTGATGGGGCCTTTGAGAGGTGGGAGCCCTCCTGAACAGAATTAAAACCCGTATAAAAGAGACCCTAGAGAGCTCCCTTGTCCCTTCACCATGTGAGAAGAAGACAGCTGGCCCTAGCTGGTTTGGCTTAGTGGATAGAGTGTCAGCCTGCAGACTGAAAGGTCTTGGCTTCAATTCTGGTCAAGGGCACATACCTTGGTTGCATGCTAGATCCCCAGTCCAGGTTGGGGTATCTGTGGGAGACAACCACTTGATGTGTCTCTCACATCAATGTTTCTCTCTTTCTGTCTCTCACCCTCCCTTCCACTCTCTCTCTCTTTCTCAAAAAAAAAGAAGAAAACAGCTGGCTGTGAACCAGGAAGTGGGCCCTCACCAGACAGCAAATCTGCTGGCGCCTTGATCTTGGACTTCCCAGCCTCTAGAACTGTGAGAAATAAATTTCTGTTGTTTATAAGCTGCCCAGTCTATGGTATTCTATAGTATTCTGTGTTATTCAGCCTGAACAGACTATTCACTATTCCCAATTATGTAGAGAAAATTTTTGCCTACATGGAAATGTATAATGTGCATCTGTGTCTTAATCTTGTCACAGAAGCCTAGCTAGTGGTTAGGAGTGAGCAAGACAGTCTTTGCTATAGTCAGTCTATCATAAGACATTTTATGAAACAGTATTATTGTACCATGATACAATAATCAAGCATGAAGCCTCTGAAACTGGACTACCTGTGTTCAATGTGTCCATCGCTGCTGATTATAATCTTGGGGTTACTTAACTTCTCTTTTCCTGCCTTTCATTACCTGTAAAGTGGAGATAGAATAATGTATACCACATGGGATCATTGTGAAGGTTAAATGAGATAATTATGAGCAGTGCTTAACCCCATCCCCTGATAGGTAAGTATATAAACATTAGCTGTGTATTATTTGCTAGATCACCCCTATCACAGCAATTTAAAGAAAATGAGCTATCATTTCCTCTCTGAAGGAATTTATGAGAGGGATTAAAAATAGCAATACACCTTTGTCTTGCAACAGAAGTTGTGCCAGCTTTGTAAGAACACAGCAGGGAGTGGTCAGTTCTATTTGAAAGGGTGGAGAGTATTCGGGAAATTATTTACAGAAGGAGAGGGAAGATCTTTGAACAAATTCTTGAAACCAGTTTCTATTCTCACCTTGGGCTTCTAGCAACCACCAAATAGTGGTGAAGAAAAAAAAGTTAACAGCATGTCAGACGAATACGAAATGACTATATATTTGACAAAAAAATGCTTACTACCTTAGATTTCAGTGATTGCAAGTAACAAATATGTCAACATCATCAGCTTGCATTTCCCCCATTTTTGCCTTTTATAGCTTCTGACTTAGAGACTCACAAACTCTGCACCTCCACCGCACCCATTCCTCAGTCATTCATGTCAGCTTTAAGTACATCAGCAGTCTGAGAGAAGACCGCAAACAAGATTATATTAATTTCAGGTGTAGAATATAATGACTCAGTATTTGTATATATTGTGAAATGATCATTACAATAAATTTAGTTAACATCCATTCCCATACAGAGTTACATTTTTTTTTCTTGTGATAGAACTTTTCAGGTCTACTCTCTTAGCAATTTTCAAACATGCAATAGACTATTATTAACTACTGGAGACCCGGTGCATGAAATTCGTGAACTCTGGGGGGGGGGGGGGACCCTCAGCCTGGCCTGCGCCCTCTTGCAGTCTGGGACCCCTTGCTCCTTACCGCTCGGCTTGCTGCTCCTTAGTGTTGCCACGGAGGCGGGAGAGACTCCCGCCACTGCCACTGCGCTCGCCAGCTGTGAACCCGACTTCTGGCTGAGCGTGCTCCACTGTGGAAGTGCACTGACCACTAGGGGGCAGCTCCTGCATTGAGAATGCCCCCTGGTGGTCAGTGTGCATCATAGTGACCCGTCGTTCCACTGTTTGGTCAATTTGCATATTAGCCTTTTATTATATAGGATAGTCACCATGCTGTACATTATACCCCAATGATTTATTTATCTTATAACTAAAAGTTTATACCTTTGACCCTTTTACCCATTTTTGCCTACTCCTCACCAATCTATTTCCTGTATCTATAAAGGAGCTTGCTTATTAAAATCAAGATATAATGAAGCCAATACTATCCCTTAGGCCAAAAGAGGGAGGAATGAGTTCATCATGACCTAAGTGGAGACATTATCAACTTTTTAAAAAATTACATAAAAAAAAAGGAATGGTTATGATGGAAACACAGACAAAAAAAAGTGGAGTTCAGGGTTGCAAAATTGCTCACTATGTCTCCAGAGGAGTCACAGGAGTCCTTTCCTAATTATGCATATACCTAGTTTCTTTGCCAGAGAATACAGGGGTTAATTAAAGAAATGGGCAGCCCCATCATTTAATAGCTCTGGGACTTTGAATAATTCTTACACCTCTGTGTGCCTCACTTTTTTCATCTGTGAAATGTTCAGTGAGTATGTATAAGAGTATAATGCAGTGCCTGGCACAGAGAAAGTGCTTATGAAGTCATAGCCAGAATTTCTCTTTTCTCAGCACCGTTTGATCACAGTTTTATTTTCTTTCCTCTGACCCTCAGTCCCAACACACTCTGTACCCTTGCTCACTCTATTTTGACATTCCTGACATTAACTTTCGTTATTTAGTGGGGCTGAAGTGGAGATTCTGTGCTGGGGTCCAACCCCAGCAGGTCCAGGGGTCCCCAAAGGTGTGGACGGAGTTGGTGAAGACTATCCACCCTCTTCCAATGGTGGAGTCCTATCTGTCCCGAGTGCGGGGGGGGGCTTACCTAGGGGAATGGGGGGCTTACCTAAGGGTCCCTGTTCGGGCGCCAGATGCTGGGGTCCAACCCCAGCAGGTCCAGGGGTCCCCAAAGGTGTGGACGGAGTCGGCGAAGAAGGAATGACACGGAGACAGCGTTCAGTTGATCAGCAGCCTAGCCAGGATCTCCAGCCAAGTTCTGGTATGGATCTCCAGCCAAGTTCTGTTCAGGATCTCCAGTGAAGTTCTGGTTTGGTTCTCTCACTAGGTTCTCCAGCCAGGTTCTCCAGGTTCTCCAGCCAGGTTCTGTAGCCATGTTCCCTCGCTAGGTTCTCCAGCCAGGTTCTGTCCAGGTTCTCCAGCCAGGTTCAGTCACCAGGTTCTAGTCAGGTTCTCTTGCCATGTTCTATCCAGGTTCTGTAGCCAGGTTCTGTCTCTAGGTTCTTCAGCCAGGTTCTCTGGCTAGGTTCTGTCTCCAGGTTCTGTGGCCAGTTTCTGTCCAGGATCTTTTGCCATGTTCTCTTGCTAGGTTCTGTGTCCTGTTGTCTTGTTACATCTGTATTTATACCAGTTGATTCCAATCCTATCAATCTCTATTCCAAAGGTTAGGGCATTTCTTATCTCCATTCCAGGGAGTAAAGATTATGTAGCTTAAGCATGATTGTTCGTAGTTAAAGTGATTAATTACCCGCCTGGCACTTAGTTAAGGGGTTTTATTCCCTCCCTAACTTCAGGGGAAAATCCCTACCTGGGGAAACAACCTTTCTCAGAGAGGTGACCTTGGTTAAAACACATAGTGCCAAGAAGGTGAGCAAACATATTAAGAACAGTATGCCATATATGCCAGGTCCCTTGAAACAGCAAGGATGGACCAGCACCCGGCAATTCTGGAGGGTGGTGTTAGGTGAAACCACTTACTACAACTCCTCAGAGTGATGAAACAAACAAGTCTTAGATGGTCACAGGATATTGGGACTTGCTGACTGTCATGAGACGTTCAGGAGCCTTAAAACAGGTGCCAAAGGATCCATATAAGTAGCAGGGCCAGGCCATTAGTGATGCCTCATTCAATCAGTTGAGAATCTTAATAGAACAATGACTGACTCCCCCCTACAAGAAGGAATTCTACCAGCAAAGAGCCTTTAGACTTGAATTGAAATATTGACTCTTCCTTGGGTCTCCAGACTGCCAGCTGTCTGCAGATTTTAGACTTGCCAGAATCCATAATCACATGAGCCAATTCCTTAAAACCAATCTCTCTCTCTCCCTCTCCCTACTTCTCTGCCCCATTCCCGCACCCCACACACACTCTATTGGTTCTGTTATATGGTGAATACTTACTTATACAATCATGTTTAATAGACTGATGATTTAATAGACTATGATGCTAGCTCTTTCTGACCAAGCCTAGGAAAGTGTGAGGTTCTCCTTTGAACATATGGTTGTCTCCTGTAATAGCAGGTTGACCTGCATAGCAGTTGTGGGTTTTGGGTAGAGTGGACAGGACTCCTCACTCTAGGCCCATCTACATTATGCAGGTCAATTTGCTTTACTTAAAGTCTGACAATTTAAATGTAAATCTCATCAAAAAACATCCTCATAGAAATGTCCAGAATAATATTTGACTGACTGAGCATGGTGGCCCAACCAAATTGATACATAAACTTAGCCATCACAGCTATCCTGTTTGTTCAGCAAAAGTGAAAAAAGATGCTCTCTTTTTTTCGGTCAAGATAGATACTAAATGTAAAGATAGATTGACACAGAACCAAGTTCCCAGAAGCAGGCCTGGGATAGTAAGAAAAAGCCCGATAGTAAGAAAAGACCTGGAAGGTGTGTTGTCGGAGTATTGGGTTGCTGAGATTCCTCCTTCACTAGTGGGAGTGGGGTTCTTGCAATATATTTAGAAAAGGAATTTATAAAACTCAAATGGAATAAAGAGTGGCTTTTATTGGTGTGGAATTATATTTCTCGGGTTGCGAAGTCCCATGTCCCTTAATCCAGTCCTGAAAAAGGTGTATCTGGGGGTTTAGTAGAGTTAAAAGCAGGACCAGAGTCCAGAGTTTCCATTCCATGGTGGAGCTGAGTCCAACGTGGCATTAGGCTAGATTTACTCCATCAGTCCATGGTGTGGGCAAATGCAGGGAAGCTTGCCCCCTGCAACAGGAGTCCCAAAGAGCAAGAGAGAAAACTCCCTTTGTTCAGGAGCTTAAATATCAAATCTTCCCATGCTTGAGTGGCCAGGCCTGTTCTGGCCTCTGACTTGTTCTCAGGTGTGACCGACAAGTAAGCATCTTCTCAAGTCACCCTGACCTTACTGGGCAAGCATCTATTGTCCAGTCCCTTCCCCAGCGATCTGATCTGTGAGGAACAGACTTGGAGAATGTCAGCTGTAACTTCCTGGCAAAGTGCATAGATGACATGCCTATATTATATAGTCTCCCCTTTACTCCTTTCCTGTTAATTAATAACCAGATTGTTATAACTGGTATCAGTTGAACTTGGCCCCAATGACCTCTGGAAGCAAAACATTCAGCAAAAAGCATATTAATATCATCTGCTTCAGGAAGAAGACAATTGGTGTCTAGGACTGTTTTCATATACATTCTGGATGTGATACCACAGGAAAATTGGAAATCTGAGACAGAGGAGAAATTAGGGAGGTGAATGGTGTCCTGATCTTGCCTTGCAGGACCTGGGCCCCAATTCTGACTGGGTGAGGATGAAGAACACCCCCACCCCCAATCCATAAGCCACTCTTGGCTGTGCTCAACCTCATGGGGAACAGAGTCTGAGTTTATGTCTTATTGCCCTAAAATTTTCAACAAGTCAGAATTTCATTATAAAAATGGTTATTGAAATGTGATTGTGTTAAATTTATCTAGCTCTGGCCGGTGTGGTTCAGTTGGTTGGGCATCATCCCGTGTATTGAAATGTTGTCTGTCCGATTCTGGGTCAGGGCATGTTCCTGGGTTTTGGGCTCAATCCTGGTAGGGAGGCAACAGATTGATGTTTCACATCAATGTTTCTCTCTCTCCTTCTCCCTTCCTCTCTCTCTAAGAAAATAAATTAAAGAATCTTAAAAAAAAGAAATTTAAGTTATCTATATAGTATTTCTTTTAGAAGAATGGACACAAAGACAGAAGTAATATTCTGATGGCAAAAATTGTGCTCATTTTCTGCCAAAAAAAAAAAAAAATTTGGGAGGTTTCAAATTAGAGCCTAGAAGTTTAAATAGCTATAGTGATGAGTTTCATTTTTAGAAGGTGTTAAATTCTAATCATTACTTCATTATCACTTCAAAAGATTTGCTTTTTCAACTTTGGAGCTTAAAATGTGTTTGTTAAAGTGTCAGCAGTGAAGAGGAGCCAGGGAGTTGGTTGGGGTGTAATTGTAGTTTTTAGCTGGAACACTCACTGTAAACATTGCTTTAGTCCAAATTTATGTGGACAGACTCTTCTCTTTTAAAATAAAAAACAGACTGGGCATGCAATCTATTTCTTAAAAGATGAAAATTTGGATGTAAAAACTTATGAACCCAGTCCAGTTTGGAGGGTAGGAAATGAGAAAGAGTAAAACATCTAAAGAGGTTTTTACAGTCTAGACTTGCCACTAGCTACATATAGTCACAAAACACTTTTAATGTGGCTTGTCCAAACAGAGATATGCTGTGAGTGTAAAATACACCTTGAATCTGGAAGAGTTAGTATTAAAAAAAGTAAAACGCGTCACTAATGTTTGTTTTTATATTGATTACATACTGAATGA